AATAAGTTCCTTAGATCATCACAAAGCTTACCATTTTCCCATTCTCCTTGGACAATGGTAGAGATGATAACCCTTAAATCATCCATCAAACTCAACAGCTCACACTCAGCTATCGAGTCGACCAGCTGGTCGATCCTCGACAACAGATAACGGTCTTTTTGGAACGCCTTATTGAGGTCTCTGAAGTCAATTCACATCCTCCACTTCCCCTCCAATTTTTACATCATCAAAGTGTTAGACAACCATTCTGTGTATTTAATTCCGATGACATGCCCCGCCTTCAATAACTGATCGACCTGCTGCTCGATAATTTTGTCTATTTCGGCTCCATGATAGAGTCTCTTCTGTTGCACCCGTCGAAATTTGAGGTCAATATTCAACTGGTTCTCGATGACACTTGCATCAAACTGTTGCACATGTAAGACAAAATGTTTGCAATCTCTCATACCAAGCTGATAGGTTCCGCTCTTAGATGATTCTCCAATTTTGCTCTGATCTGAAACTTTCTGTTGCCACTCCCTTCGATCATTTGGACCTCCTCGATCTCCTCACCTGGTTGGATATCAAATTTCTGTTTCCCCTTATCCACCTTCGACCAGTCCTCTGCCCTTCTCGAGCTACTCGGCCTACTTACCCCTTTTCCTTTAGAAAGTCATTTTTCCTTGTGTTATGCCTGCTTGTCGCCACTGTTGTCTGGTAACTTTTTCTCGATTTTAGTTGGTCTCATATGACCTCTCCCACCCATTTGTCTACCGGGTACTTAATCGCCATGTGGTAGGTTGAAACCAGTGCTTGAAAGGCATTCAAACTCATCCTCCCCAAGAAATGTTGTATGCATATTCAACACCGACCATCACAAACCTTGCCATCTTCACCATGTTAGTTGAGCATGTTCATAAGGCAAAACAACAAATTGACCTCGCCCATAGAATGACCACATCTCCATTAAAACCATAGATTGACGAGACCAACTCTTTCGGCTCGACATCAAGGTCCATCTATCTAAAACATTCGTAAAATATGATGTCGACTGAGCTTCTCGTATCAATGAAGACTCATTGCACATAGTACCCAAACACCTCTACCTTAATTAGCAATGCGTCATTATAGGGCGCGTGAAATCCCTGAATGTCCTCAGCTCTAAAGCTAATCACCGGTGCTCGAGTTGCGATGCTGAACTCCTCTCATTTTCGTTGGCAACATGCTCTTTCCTCACATTGTTCGAGTCCCCATCCGTGGGACCTCCTGAAATCATGTGAATAATCCCCCTCTTCGGCGGGGTATAATATAAATAATAAGTCATCTATATTATTTAGATTAATTCAGGTAATCGAACAAATAAATTAATTTTTTTTCAGAGTTATTTTAGTTTGGTCTGGATCGAATCATTAAAAATGTTTGTTGTATAATTGCACATAGTATAAGACGAATTGCACATTCATGACTATTAGATTGCACAATAAAGACCGAAACCGTCCAATCTCAAATTCTCGGTTCGAAATTTTATATGTCGATTTGATTATTTGTTTATACTTTTAAATCATGAATATTTAAGCTCAATGTTGGCTTTATCTTTGAAAATAACCGAAATAACCGAACATGACACATTTAATAATAATAATAATAATAATAATATTATTATTATTATTATTATTATTATTATTATTATTATTATTATTATTATTATTATTATTCTAATTTTTTATGTATAGCGGGTACACATTAGGATTGCACGAATTACACATTAGTGACTGATAGATTCCACAATATCGAACGAAACCAACCAAACTAAAATTTTTAAGTTTGAAATTTTGAATTTCGGTTCGATTGTCATTCTTTACTTTTAAAAACTCAGTTATTTTGGCCTGATTTCGTTTTTTTTTATTTACATAACCGAAATAACTGAGCGGAACAAAACTATATAAAAAAAATGTAATTGACATTTTTTTCCTTATTTTTATGTAACATATTATTTATTTTCAACCAAATATTAAATAAAAATATTGAATATTAAGTATAGTTTATTTATTACAAATTTGATCCATGGACTAAATTGTAATATATTAAAATTTCTGAAATTGCAATCAAGTCCTTAAGACTTATCAAATTTATAAAATTAATCCCCTCAATTCAAAAGCTGTAACTCCCTATCATCTCCTCGGCAACTCACCTCCGGTGCCGCCGAACGCCGTGACCCGAGGCTCGACGCAATCTCCGGTTGTCGTCATCGCGTCCACCGTGACGGAGGTGCAACGACCACGACTTGGCGCAGGGGAGAATACAACATAATCACACTTTCATCGTCGTCGGAGCCTCTCAACCCACCACCGCCATCTGAGCCCCCTGCTTCATCGTCGTCGCCGCCGTGGACATATCTCCTCCGCCCTTCTCCCGTCGACACAGTGCCCCACCCAGTGCCACCACTGCTCCCTGCATGGACAACAACGCACCACCACTCAGACCGTCTCCGTCCCGCGTACCACCTCCACCACCTACACGATGAGCGCTTCGATGAAGATCTTTCATTTTGAATACTGATTCGTTAGGTCGAGGCTTATAAAGAATACGACCGGTCACCAACGACCACCCAGTCGTCGATCTCTCCAGTGCTATTGAGGGAGGCGACGACTCATGGCCGGGGACGTCATCTTCCACGGGATATGGCCACCGACGTGTACTCTGTGTGTGTGACTGTGTGTGCATCGTGGGTCACTGTATGTGAGTGTGTGTCTGTGCAGTGTCGGTGAGTGTGTGTTTTGTGTGTGAGTGTGAAAGGGAGAATGATAATAGGGTTAATGTTTGGGGGTGGGTTCCACTATGTGATTGAGATTTGACTAAAATATTATTAGCAAGTGGTCAAATGTATATATTTGACCATAATTTGACCACTTACTTACTAGATTGCCACTTTGACTGACATTAATAAATTTGACTTGATCATGACAATTGGTTTGATAGATCTAATGGTCCAGAATTATTCATATTTCTTTTACTATCTCTCTTTCTCATATGATTCCTTCTAAGTGAACACATATTTTACCTACCAACACATAAAATTCATCTCTCTCTCTCTCTATC